AGGAAATAAACTAGAAGAACGTGTGAAGAGCTCATACTCGGGGTCCTAGTAACCCTTTATATAGTCGCTCTTCACCTGGCGTGACTCATACCTCGCGTCACGCGAACCCTGTGACTCATAATCATGAGTCATATGAAATCCATCAGACGACTCCTATGAGTCGCTGCGCAACATGCCTAAACCAATCAAAACATAATAACCAAGTCAGGTGCGCAACTCGCGTCACCTGAGCGAAACCCATGACTCATAAGTATGAGTCATGTGCAAAAATCATAACATCGTGTGACTCACAACTGTGAGTCACGAACAGGTAAACATAATAACCTATGGCGCACTTAGTGTGTGTCATGTAAAATCCCCACATACCTATAACTCGGAAATCCGAGCTATGTGAAATCTGCCTTGCTTAGTCACAGTTCGTGACAACTACGCACAGAGATCATACGACACCATCACGACCCACCATACGCAGGACACGGAGGAACAGCCAAAACTACCGAATTTATCAACCGACGATACTATTGGCCCAAAATAAGAGAAGACATCAAGCGATACGTCAAAAATTGCGACACATGTCAACGAACTAAAGTGGTCCGACATGCGCCTTATGGATTACTCAAATCAAACGAAGCGCCAGGAAAACCATGGAAATCAATATCACTTGACTTCATTACGGATTTACCAAAGTCAAACGATCAAAACGCCATTTTAGTAGTGGTTGATCGTCTGACCAAAATGAGTCACTTCATACCTTGCAGAACGGATATGACGGCAATACAATTTGCGGAAATCTTTCTAAAAGAAGTATATCGACTGCACGGATTGCCAAAAGACATCATTAGTGATAGAGGATCACTATTTACGTCAGAAACATGGAAAGAAATAACAGAAAAACTTGGAATCGAACGACGCATGAGCACTGCATTCCACCCGCAGACAGACGGACAGACGGAACGGATCAACGGCATATTAGAACAATACCTAAGGGCCCACGTCAATTACCAGCAAGATGATTGGTGTAAATGGCTACCGATGGCAGAATTCGCCTACAACAACGGAAAACAAGAAACTATCAAGACAACCCCCTTCTTTGCAAATTACGGACTGCATCCAGAACACGACACCCTAGGTCATATACTCCAAGGAAAGATAATGAACAAAAAAGATATGAGTCAACTACATGATATATTACCAACAGAAATGGTCACGGCGCAATTACGACAAAAGGAAGAATACGATCGTACCTGAAAACCCGATCCAAACCTGAAATCAGGAGACATGGTTTGGTTACTACCAAGGAACATCAAGACGACGCGACCAACAAAAAAACTAGATTACAAGAAAATAGGACCATTCAAAATCTTGACGAAGATAGGAAGCTGCGCTTATAAGCTCGACCTTCCACCCACGATGAAGATACATAACACCTTCCACATCAGCCTCCTCGAACCCTACCAAGACAATCCTCTACCGTTTCAAAAAAAACCAGCACCACCGCCTATTGAAATAGATGGTGAATCAGAATACCAACTCGAAGAAATCATCGACTCTCGGTTACACTACGGTCGCTTGCAATACAGAGCCAAGTGGACTGGATACTCTCCCGAACAAGATAAGACTTGGTACCCAGTCGAAAACTTCAAACACGCACGAAATGCAGTCCACCAGTTCCACAAACGATACCCACGCAAGCCACCAGCGCACAGTCGAGGACATACCCGAATCAGGGCATGTCGCGCCGACATTATACCGCACAGACTCCTATCAGTGGCAACAATTACCGATACCATCAACCCTACAAAACATTCCGGGACGCGACGCGTTCAAACACATCACACCAACGAGCCTGGGGTATCGAAACCCAACACCAGTCAAGGAAGAACCTACAGACGAAGACTGGGTAAATCTGGTGGATTTACCCCTATCAAAAACCACGACACCTGAAAGGGAACACGCAAACCTGTCATGGACAGGATGCTACAACGACTAGTGCCATGTGCACAGAAGCGAGAAGGAGGGCTCGGGATATTGGCTGCGAGAAGCGAACCGATGGCCACCCAAGACTTCGCCCCTAGGATCACCTACAAGATCCCCAACACCAGAACCAGTGGCTCTGGTACAATACATCAAACCGACCCCGAGGACGGAGTCGAAGAGGAGGGGGGCGAAAAAACAAAAATGGGCAAAGCCTAGGAGGACGAGGCACGTCTCCTGGGAAGAAGAGATGGAAAAACCAGAGAAGACGGTAATGAAATTGTTGGTGGAAGCGGAGGAGATGAAGAAATTGTTGGAATGGCAAGCGGAAAAAATAGGACAACTCCAGAGCGAGTTAAGGGAGGAAACGAGGATAAGGAAGACTCTCCAAAACGACTGGAGGAGGGAAGAGAAGGAGGCGAAAGGAACCTGACGAGAGTACGGAAAGTTAGCACTTGGCTGAACAAGGAAGCCAAGTGGGGACTACCAGCAAGGGCATGGGGAGGATTGGAGGATAGACTGTTGTAAGCCCGATGGGACTCGGGCTGAGGGAGAGGGGAGCTAATGTCACAAACTGTGACTAAGCAAGGCAGATTTTACATAGCTCGGGTTTCCAAGCTATAGGTATGTGGGATTTCACATGACGCACACTAGTGCGCCATAGGTTATTATGTTTACCTGTTCATGACTCACAGTTGTGAGTCACACGATGTTATGATTTTCGCACCTGACTCAAGTTATGAGTCATGGGTTTCACTCAGGTGACGCGAGTTGCTCACCTGAAATAGTTATTAAGGTTTTGATTAGGTTTAAGCATGTTGCGCAGCGACTCATAAGAGTCGGCTGATGGATTTCGTGTGACTCATAGTTATGAGTCACAAGGGTCGTGTGACACATAAGTATGAGTCACGCCAGGTGAAGAGCTACTATATAAAGGGTCACTAGGACCCCTAGTATTAGCTCTTCACACGTTCTTCTTGTTTATTTCCTACCTTTAAGTTATTATCAATAAAACCTACCTTTACGCTCTTTAAGATTTATCTTAAGAAACCCAAGAATTGTCTTTCCTCTCAAGCGAGAAAACTATTTCTCCTCCCACATCGAACAACTAAGTCCCCAGTAAAGGACTTAAGAAGTATAAGGAGATAGGCGCGAATACGATAGTAGTCAAAGGACTGGACTATTGGGATCGCGTAGGCACCGGCCTGAAAGCTATCACCTTACAGAGAAGTATCGTTACCTGTCGCTAGGTCCTACTCGGTAGGATTCTTAACAGTTGTCTCTGGCACTTGTTACATAGTAACAATATACTATACTTCTTTGGTAGAAAAGAACGACCTCCCTGCACACTACTACAAATGGGGAAGGCAAATCTTGGCTGAGACGCACGAGTACGGTACTCGGGTACGGTACATGACATGAGCTGATATCTTTCGTTGAGCTGTTAAGGCACGTGGTACGGTAGACGTGCTGCAAGATTTTGGAACTGTGTGCAATTACATAATCAGCAGGAACCTTAGCACCGTTACACCTCCTTTCCCTCCTCCGTTTATTTTCTTCCTCCCCCTCCATTATCCCGCATCCTCTCACCAAAAATCTTCAGACGACTAAATCTATTGGCTTCCCCCCCGATCACTCTCTAACCCATAAAACTCTCCGCACACACTGACTATAAAAGACAGGTTTTCTCCAGCATGAGTTCAAGCCGCTCACACCTTCGGAACGTAGAATTTTATGATCCTGCCAAACCTGACAGCGATGCCCTTGGGGGATTCATCCAGAATGGATCAGTTACGGAAGGGAATTTCCTTCACATGCTTGGGATCGTTCTAGTCGTAGAAACTCCTATACGTGTTCAACATCGAAATTCAGGGCATGTCGTATCGGCGATCAACAGCCGCCTGGCAATTGGGACGTATGATATCCATTGTGACTGTAGGTAATTGCCCCTGCTCATGGAAAGGTAATAATTAACTTGGTTGCAGCCCCCGTTCAATTGAGCAATGAGCCGTGGATACATCGAGTTATCTCGTACAATGTCTCTGGCCGAGAGGACGCCTTTCGCGACGGAATTCGAGCGCGAGATGGAAGATGTGTGATTTCAGGTGTGATAAATACGAGTGCTCCATTTCGGTGGGCGAGTTTCGAAGCAGTACATGTTTTTCCGCTGGGAAGCGAGAATCTCTGGATTGAGTGGGGTTATGGGCAGCACATCACGGACATGGATGGCACTGTTGGCATCTCAAAGATCAATTCGTGTCAGAACGGGTTTTTGCTTAGTCAACACATCCACGGCCTATTTGATCAGTACTTATTGTCAGTGAATCCAGATGTGGGTTCTCTACTATAATTTACTATCCCTAGGCGATGCTGATTATTTCTAATAGGATAATTATAAAGTTACTGTGTTTGGGAATGATATGGACGGTATAGATGGCAGAACTCTGGATCCAATTTGCCGCGATCCAGTGGATCCACATCGTGTCTCGGATCAGCTTTTGCGGTGGCACTTTCGACAGTCCGTGCTTGCGAACATGAGAGGAGTGGGCGAGCCAGTCTTTGAGTGTGACTTCCCCCCGGGGACCGACATGATGGGAGAGGTCCAGAGAGGACCGTACGCGAAGGAGAGGCTAGAGTTGGAGGTGACGGTTAGATTGAGGGGATTGGCGTAGAGCGGTCAATGTAGAACCTACTACACCACGAAACCACATGACGCCTTTAATCCTAACCCCAAATGATGCCCCCGAATTTACTGCCCTCCCTTCGGCTTCCCTATCCGCCCCGAAGCAAGCCACGCAAGTTTCTTAGAATGACCCTGCCTAGCCTTCTTTGCATCATGGCGGCGTCGGGCCTCTAGGGAGGCGGTCGCTTTCACCAATATCAAATGCCGCATTACATCACATGCCACATGCAGAGATCTGCATCCCCGCGATCTTCTGGATGACTGGCCTCTCCTCCCCCGGTTGCTCGCAACCAGATCTCCAACCAAATAAGCAACGATGCCGGTGTCCCACTTGATTTAGAACATGCCTATACCAAGCCCTCAGATGGCGCACTCGCGGGATCAGAGGTAGTTTTGCGAATGTTGCCGGAGCGCAGGCTGATTACCACTTTTGAGGGGAGCATGTCCGGGCCTCCACTGGGGAGTCATTGACGAGCGGAGGGTGTGTGAGACTGCAAAGGGGCTAGGGTGGTGACGATGAACGTGCGGGGATTGATTCCTCCGATGAAGACGAGACTAGTAGTGTCGAGGCAAGCGTTGGATCAAATTCGCCTGTGGGTGAGGAAGAGGAGAGGAGAGGGAGGGCCGCTGCGCTCAGAAATGCTTCCGGCCCCAGTAGTAAAAGTAGCACCGCGAGAACTGAGGGGGCAGTAGAGAAAGGTGCAGGTATGATCAAATTATGATCAGGATTGTGGACGATTCGGCTAGGGCGGAAGAAAGTGAAAGAAGAGATGAGGTGGAATAGACGCCAGGAAGGGGGCTATAGTAAACGGAGGACAAGTATGAGTTTACTGACTGCTGCAGAGGAAGAACGTATGTACTCCTGCCTACATTCTAAGGGTGGTTCTGACTTCTCCGATAGGGAAGGCTGAGTGGTAGGTAGGGTGTTCGCTCCCTCCTGCCCTCGATATCGATTACCCCGCCTGGTAACATCCCTGGAGCAAATCTCCTATAAAAAATAGACGATCGGGTGTGCCTCATTCTACAAATTTCGACCTTTCGTGGCATAACTCTACGCCAATGTCCTCGGATGCAGAAGCGGACGCCCACGATCTGCATCGTGCTCAACGAATGGAGTTGATCTTCTCTCCTATCACTTCTACACCGGAGACTCAACATGTCATTAGGACAATTCTGCGTGGGTAATATGAGTCGATAGTCAAGGAGGCAGAGGAAGGCAGTAAGTCGGTGCAAAAGTATCTTGTTGCTACGGATTTGAGTGGGGAGGCCCAGCATGCCCTGGAGTGGACAATCGGGACGGTTCTGGGAGCTGGCGATACTCTGATGGCCATATATGTCATCGATCAGGATACGGTGGAAGATGGCGGTAAGATTGTTCCGGATGACAAGATAGCGGGAGCATTGAATAGCTAGGCTGCCGCCATGGGGACCGGCCTTGCGGCTATGAACATGCCTCATGCAACCGGAACACCCGTCATGGTTTCCCGGGAAAAACTCAAGCACTAAAAGTTTGCTAAAGCCAACGAGGTTCTTCGCTTCTCTTCGCTACCCCCTCGTAACCGTGCCAAGGTTGTGGCTCCGCCACAACCCTCGATTGCTCGCAATCTTGGGCACGTCTACGACGTGCCCGACAGCTCAACGTCAGATTCGGCTCAACGTCACTTTCACACCTAATCCAAACCAAAGTCCCACCACACGAAAATAAAAGTTGTAAAAGAGAGGAAAAGAAATCAGGGACATATTTACAGTGGCTTAAAACAATGTGTGAGGAGGTTGAATGGGTGTTTGAGGCATTGGGGGGCGTTTGGTAGTGGTCCGAAATTCCTAAATTCACATAGACCGTGTGAGGGCTCAGCGAGGCGCGGCACGGCTTGGCTCCCTACTGTCGTTGACCGTAGGCAATCTTTGCTGCCAAATATCGCCAAGCCTCGCTGAGGGTGTCGCCTCGCTGAGCCCTCACATGGTCTACTAATCGAATCTGACGTTGAGCTGTCGGGCACTCTCTGGAAGAGAATGCCCAAGGTTGCGAGTTGCGAGCGACCGTGGGTTGTGGCTCCGCCACAACCTTGGCACGGTTATCCCATCAATTAGATACAGTACCCGTGTTAGTGCACACATCTCTTCCTACGTCCTCTTGAAAATCTTTCTATTTCCTTATCAAAACATGGCGCCTACCGACCGCTCCGCATTCCGGAATGCCTTTATTTATGATTCTAAGAATAGTAGTGTACTAAGTAGTCTTGGGAGGTCTCTGGGCCGCAAAAGGCATTACGAATGCTAATCTCTATAAACCGGTACTTTACTGGTGAGTCACACTGTTTATACTGACGTGATTACATATTTTTCTTGCCGTAAAGCTTAAATTAACAGTGTAGCACATTTTTCATTTGAGTACTTACGGTATGGTGGAGACTTTCTGTTCGGTAGAGGACACGTACTACCTACACGACGAGAACGAGGAAGTGGTCCAAAGGAATGCACTGCAACTCCAACCAGGGAAATATTTTGTTTTTACCAATGGTAGGTTTCTTCATTGCTTCCATTATTAGCATTTACTTACCGCAGATAGGTTCTGTTGAAATATACGGTAAGCTGGTTGACAGGGTTTTCGGCCACCCCTAGTTTTCGGCCATCACAATGGTGCCCGGTATCATGAACTCCCAACTTTTAAATTAAGTCTACAGGAGCAATAAAAATTGAAAACAGAATAAATCATATAAAATTGAATATATTTACATTTGCCACTTGAACATACAGGACTCCATTTTCACTTTCTGAAGTGCCCGGGAAGTTTGCAGTGCTTCTGCCTCTGCTGCAGGGTACTTCTCTATCAAAGCCTGCTCAGCCCTGGCTGCCTTATCCAATGCTTTCTTAATAGTTTCTGCATTGGCAAAAAGGGTATTTGGGTCCGCAGCCACCTTCCTTTTAGTCTTTTTACTCTGTAGTTCCTCTAACTGTACTAAGAGTCCACAGTTACTTGCTTGAATCAATGCTTTCTCTGTTGCAAGCTTGTCAATTGCCTTACTAGCCTTTTGCAATACCGTCCGCTGGTCGCGACTTATATCGCCGAGCCCACCTATCATTGAATGAAGGTCCCGTGGATGCTTGGGAGTAGGAAATATTGTATCACTCTTGTTCAACTCGCATCTGGTACGCTTTGGTATAGTAGGTGGCGGAGGGTCAGTTGTGATATGAATTTGCGAGGAATTGAGGGCTTTAGAAGGGTTCCAGGGATAGAGGCCGGTGGCGGACCATCCTGATCTTAGTAGACGAGGAGTAAAGGTCTCGGCTCGTGCTTTCTGATAACACTCAACAAAGTGCCGCTTTTTGATCGGTGCTGCATCGTCCAAGGAGGCAAGATCCGCAATCTCGCTTCGATAACGTGACTTAAGTGTAGAGAATGTCCCCAGGTCAAGAGGCTGGAGGACATGACTTGAATGAGCAGGAAGAAAGAGAAGAGACATATCATTTTGTCTGCAGTCCCACATAAACTCAATATGGACATGGCTACCATGTCCATCTAGGATGAGAAGACGTGGCATACCCCTTCCAGTAGAATTACTATAACGGACAGGGTCTGAGGGTCGGATAGCCCAAGGCACACCACGGGATCGAGGACAGGCAGGAATCTGGAGACGAGGTCTAGGTGTGGGGGTATAACTGAAGCGAGTTGTACGAGGTTCGGGGTTCAGGGGTTCAGGGTCAGGGTTCAGGGGTTCAAGAGGACGCCAGATAGTAGAGAGTGTAATTCCTAGGTACAGGTGTCCAAATAATATCTAAGTTTATTTATACTCGTCGCGCCAAAACGTGGCTTATGATTGAGCGCCCCCCCGACAGGAGCTTAATGCCGGCCGGGATCC